CGTGCAGCAGGGAGAAGCTTCTTGTTCTGTGTCCCTGACTTTCCTGTTTTTTTCATTTTCAGTATAAAATGTTACTACCCATTGTCTTAATTTTCCTTGACTTTTTACTTATTTTTATAATTCTGATATTTTATAATTAGGAAATGTTAGGAACATTACCAAAATATTTATATTGGAGTTATGTTAAATAATGTATTTATATTATAAAAATATGTTTACATATATTATCTTGTGCTATACTTTGTCTCTGCTTTTTTTTTTAATCTTATTTATTTATTTGACAGAGACAGACACAGCGAGAGAGGGAATACAAGCGGGGGGAGTGGGAGAGGGAGAAGCAGGCTTCCCGCAGAGCAGGGAACCCGACGCGGGGCTCGATCCCAGGACCCTGGGATCATGACCTGAGCCGAAGGCAGACGCTTAACGACTGAGCCACCCAGGCGCCCCTTTTTTAGTGTTATTTTTGCCAAATTTTAATTACTAGGCTTATTTTTGAAATTTATCAATACCAACTGATTTTGCAAAAACATGGTAAGTAAAGGATTTTAAGATACTTTGCAGGAATTTTTGTGTTGTATGTAGCCCTTGGATTCTTTAATTGAAATATTTAATGTGAAAATTGGCAAGTTACATGCAGTTGTAAGAATTGTTACAGAGAGATCCTGTGTATGCTTTACCCAGTTTCTCCAATGGTAATATTTTCCAAGACCATATTATAATATCACAACAATGAAATTGGCATTGATACTATCTACTGATCTCATACAGATTCCTCTAGTTGTACATGGTGTGTGTGTGTGTGTGTGTGTGTGTGTGTGTGTTCATTCTGGAGCATAGATTTTTACTTAAGAATATATTCTGGAGAAAAAAAAAGAATATATTCTGGAGGAAAGTCCACAGAGTTCGTTGTGCTGTCATGGAATGTATATGTTCCTGAAAACCACCAAGCTATGCAAAATCCAAAATAAAAATCACAGGGCTTATTGAGATCCTCAAAATGTAATCAGTAAAACATAAAAAAAAAAGATGGAATCCTAATAAATGCCATAGCACAATTTTACACATGTTAAAAGTTTGAGAAACACATAATGTAGTAAGTACAGCATTTAACCTTAAAAGCCTGAAATTTGTTTGTGGAAGTGGGTGTCAGAGGGTTGCAATTGTGAGTTATTTTATGAAGTAATGGAAGGAAGGTTACTTAAAATCAGTTGCCTAAAATTCACCCACCAGAAGTGAATGGGTTTGGCTCATAATACATGGTGAATTGGCATAGCCAGTAGATGTTTGACTTCTGTCCTTATGTGTGGCCGGTGGCTTGAAGGAAATAGACAGCAAGACGTCCCTGTAGGAGGAAAGTTCATAGGGCTGGGCTAAGACATGGTCATGTTTGTCCCTTAAACCTATTGCAAGAATCGAGGTTTTAATTTGTAAAGAAGCATGTATTGAAAGGTTTGGAAAGGGAAGTGACATGATTTTACTTGGGAAAGATCAGTCATTCTGGCTACTATTTAAAGATTAGACCATAAATCAACAAGTAAAGTAGGGAGATCATTGAGAGACAACTATAAGAAATCAGGGGTGAGGAGATGGTAGCTGGATCAGCTATTAACATATTTAGTAGGGAGATATAGATTTTTCTGTCCTTTGAAAGTAAGTAGCACACGATTTGTTCATGACTGCTATGAGGGACAAGGGAGAACATGGTTAAGGGTGGCCTCCAGGTTGGTGTTCTGAGGACCTAGGATAATGGCGCTGTTTTGAACCAAGATGGAGACTACTGGAGACAGCAGATTCAAGCCCATCTGGACATGCTGAGTAGGTGAATAGAGGTATGGGTTAGTTCCTGGAGGAAGTGTGATCTATCCACGTAAACTTTGGAATCATAAGTACAATGTCATCAGACACGAGCCTGGCTGAGGTTCCCCCATTGTAGTGAATGTACATAGAAAAGAAGCGAGATCAGGGCACCTGGTGGCTCAGTCGGTTGGGCAACTGCCTTCGGCTCAGGTCATGATCCCAGAGTCCCGGGATCGAGTCCCGCAACGGGCTCCCCGCTCAGCGGGGAGTCTGCTTCTCCCTCTGACCCTCCTCCCTCTCATGCTCTCGGTCTCTCATTCTCTCTCGCAAATAAATAAAAAATTAAAAAAAAAAAAAAGTGAGATCAGAGACCTGAGCCTCATGTGGTACTCTCATTGGTGCTCACATTTGTGTTCCCCTAGTCCTCCTATCCTGTCCCCCCTTGCCCTTTTCCGGCTACTTGATCGCCTTCCACCTCACCAAGCTTTTTCTCATCTCTTTGTGGCACTTTCTCTACCTTTGTGTTGGATTGTTTTAACCTGGCTCTCCCCATGACTAGTCCTCATTTGTCTCCTTAGTGTCAACTTGGCTATCACCTGCACAAAGTGGCTGCCCACACCCAGAATACAGAAAGGAGCTCCTTTCCCCCTCCTTTCAGTTTAAACAGTTACTCAACTCCTTTCTCAATTTAATTTTTATTCCCTTCTAATCCTCCCTTTCCTCTCCCTCATTAGTTTTATTGATACATCTAGAGCAACAGAACAAGAAGCATACATTTTGTTATCATGACCTAATAACAAATGATAACTACTATCATTGGCCATAGTAGTGAGTTGTGCCGTTATCATTTTGTAAAAAATATATTTCAGGATATGGAGTAAGAAATAGACTGTGGATAAAACAGTACTGCTCACTGGGTTGGATACAATCACTGATAATTTAGGCAGGAAAGATATTTTCCGACGGACCCGGAGCCTGGTTTACCCTTGTCCACCTGCTCTAGAGTGTCCAACATCCATTCCTCCTCTATTTTCATTGCCATGACCCTGTCCGGAGGCTTCTCTCCTGCCCCTGACCTAAAATTCTGAAACTAACAAAACTGACTCCAAAGTTTCGGGGGTACCTGCATTTGAAAAGCAATAGCATGATGTTTATTAGCTTCCGGCTACGACGCGAACGCGTTTTGTACCGAGTAACGATGGAATGATACGTCCGTTTGGATCCGTGTCCTTTTGAGGGCATCTGAAATAATATTTTTGGCCTCTGAAGCAAGCTCGGCTCCGTGCAGTCTGAAATAACATGTTTCTAAACACTTTGGCAATCTGTTGCAACAACGTACCCAGAAGTACGGGTGCTGATCTTCCCTGAGGAAGCAAGCTCCAGGCTCTCGTTGGCGAGGCCATTTCCTAGGCATCCTCGGCGGAGCTGCCTGACTTGCCCCGGAGGTAGGTGTGGGTACATCCCTCGCCGAGTCTGCAGAGCTGTCGGAACCACATTACCCAGAATGCTCTGTCAGAGCGCCTGGCGGCGCTGAGCCAATGAAGGCTCAGGAGAGGGCCCTTCTGCGCAAGTACGTCATATTGGGGCGGGACTTCTGGCGTCCTCTTCTTGGCGGTCATTTTGGCTTTTCAGGGCTTACCGTGGTTTAGAGATACTGTAGCACTGGTTTGGGAGTGAGCTGACGGGGTCAGAGAAGGGTCGGGAGGAGGCGCTGTCCCCACCGCACAGATTTGGGTCCGCGGCTCGGTGACGCTGCCCAGACTGCGCGCGCGAGGGGCCGGGACGGGGACCGCCGGTTCGGGTGTCTGCTCCGCCACCGAGTCCGATGGCGGCGGCCGCGCCCAGGGAGCCGCCTCAGGTAAGCGCTCGTCCCCCGGGCCCGCCCGCCGTCCCCCCCGCCCCCAGACCCCGAAGGCCCGAGCTGCTCGCGTCCCTGCGGCCCAGGCCCCGGTGTCGGACGGGGAGGCGGCGGTGGGCGGGGGCCCCGTGTGCGAGCGCCGGCGTGCTGGCGTGAGGAGCGGGCTCCGGGCCGAGGGGCCGGCGGGGCAGAGGCTGGAGGGGGCGTGAGGCGGGAGGAGGCTGCCCTCAGGGGACAGAGAGCGTGAGGCGGGGTCACGCAGGGCCGAGCGGCGGTGCGGTACCTTCAGGTGAGGACTGTAGGCGCCAAGGGGACTTTGGCCAGAGGAGGGACACGATCTCCTTGATTTTAAGTTTCCCGAAGGTTGCTGGGAGAGAGAATAGACTGGAAGGGGGTTGATGAGGACAGTGAGGTGCCGGGAGGTGACGTTCTTGTGCAAGGTCACCTCCCTGGTCACAGGCCTCTCTGAGGCACAAAGGTTAGACAGTCAGCGGAGGTCACCTGGCTCCAGGGCTGGGCAGGAATATAGGGAGATCGGAGCCCGTGGAGCCTGGCCATGGCTGTCTTCCTCTAGGGCCTGCCTCTTTTCACAGGTTTCTGTGACTGAAGAAATGCTCCTGAGGCCAACACGGGTCAGTGGAGGGTCTCAGCCCCTTACTGGTCCTGACCCCTCCCAAGTGGTTTCTGGGATTAAGGTGTCCGGGGACTCTGTCTGCCGCTCTCCCACTGCTAGTGTCTGGGAGACCTTGGAGAAACTCCAGGCACAGAGTCCTGAGTCTAGGCTGAGGGTTATATGGAGGGGTTCTTGTTTCTGGCAACCAATTGAAAGAGGGGCAGAAGGTTATCCTAGGAACAGGTACCAGTGTGTGCAAATACTTGGAGGCAGCTGGGAGTGTCAAGGGAACTGAAGATTTCCCCTTTTTTCTTCTCATGGAAACAAGGGGACCGGAGCAGGGCTGGAATGGCTGCCTTTGAGGTCACTTGTCAATTCTGGAGGTAATAGGAGGTTTGATTAAGAGTAAAGTGATCTTACCAAGGTTTTAACAGGCCTCGTGTAGCTGCACAGTGGAGAATGGACTCTGGGATAAGGGAGGGAGAAGGATGACCAGGAAGGAGGCTGCTGAAATGGGCCAGGTGAGTGTTGTTGGATGTAAATGGTGGCCATCGAGGTGGGAGAAGTGGTTGGATCCTGGACTCATTTTTTTTTTTTAAAGTAGGGCCAACCAGACTTTTTGATGTGGACAGAAAGGACAGAGTCGGGGATAACCCTAAAGGTTTTGGTCTTAACAGCTGGAAGGATGGAAGTGCCATCAACTGAGATGGGATAGTCAGTAATGGGTACGGTTTTCAGTGGGGTATCAGGAGGTTTGTTTCGTTTCAGAGACTATTGAGTGGAGGCATTAAGTGGGCAGTTGCACACACAGTTTGGTAGGGAGGGGGTTTCAGGATGGAGCCATCCCAAAGGTGATTGCTGCAGTGTCAACCAGGGTGGAGCTGTGGGTTGCATTGAGGAAGGGGAATCTTCAGGTCCTGGTGGTGATACTGTTAGCAGTCCAAGAAGAAGATGGTGTGGGCCAAATATGGGGCCTCTGGCTTGGACACCTGGTTGAAGGTGGACGGTATTGGGTACGCAGGTGAAGGAGAAAAGTAGCTGGCAGGGAAGTGTGGGCAGGAGGATGATCTGGCAGGTAACCAAGGTTTCCAAGGGAAAAGTGGACCTGAGAGAAATGTGGAGGCATAGGAGTAATTGAGGCAGGATGATGTTCCCCAGGACTTTGTGGTGACCCTTGGGTAGGGCATGAGATGTTTCAGTCAGGATGGTAGGTTATTTCAGAGTCCACTGTGGTCATCTATGGGTTATTAGGCCTGGGATAGGGAACCAGTGGGGCTGAGTTTTGAATGAGGTTTAGATGTGACTGGAGAGGACAGGAAGGGCAGCACAGAAGTTGAAGAGGACCAGAGATATCTGAGATGTGCATGTGGTTCTGGTTGGTGAGGTTGAAGCAAAGAACAGAGCCAGCTTTCCCTCTATGAAGGGGAGGCTTTCCTAGCAGGATTCTGGAGTGCCCTTCGTAGTGGAAGGCATTGGAGGTCTGGATAATAATGGATTCCATTTGCGTTTGCCAAGCAAGCACTGTCAATCTAGGGAGATGCCCGTGCTGTGGGGCAAGGGGGTAGTTGTGGTGGTGGAGAGAGTGCATCTGTGGGCTCCAGAGATGTAAAAGGTACAGTCTGTACATCACAGGTGCATTGATGTGCATGTGGAGAGGGACTGTGAACTAATGGCCCCAGGGTTCTGGTACTGGGCACTTAAGGTTGAAGGGAAAGCCCAAATTTGGTTGAGTCTGGGACACTTAGTCTGGAGGACTGCAGGGGTATTGCTTGGCAGGAGCTTTGGGGCCCTCCCTATGTGCCAGGCCCAGAGTTTAGATGGTGTTTATCTGATGACGTGCTGTTGTTGCTGAGGGTTGTACACAGTGAATAATGGGACCATGAGGAGAGACCACCAATGGTGCCTATGGGGTGATTTTTGTGGGGGAAGAGATTGTAGGTCCTTGGGACAGGGGCTCTTTGGGGTTTCATCTGTCTCTGTCCTGACAGGACAGTGTGACATTTGAAGATGTGGCTGTGTACTTCTCCTGGGAGGAATGGGGTCTTCTTGATGAGGCTCAGAGACGCCTATACCATGATGTGATGCTGGAGATCTTTGCACTTGTGACCACCCTGGGTAAGGCCCTCATTCCCTCCCCAGGGACCTGGGCTTTCTACTTTTATCCCAAGGATAGCTCCCTATTTCTCCCATCACAAACATGGGCATTGCTTCCTTCCGCAGCTCCCTGGTTAGTTGTAGTCCTTAGGGCTAGGTTGAGTGCACTGCACCATAGCCTCACTGGGAAGGTATTCAGGGTCAGAAGGTTTTGCCCCCTTCCTATAGGTGATGACATTTCCTGTCCCTGCCTGCTCCAGGAATTGTAGTCACTGACATGGTCAATACTTATGTGGACTACGGGCAGTTCTTATAGGATCCTCCTCTGAGGATTTTTTTGTAATACTAGCTTTCTTTCCTATGGTCTGTTATGTGTTAAGTTGCTCTGGGCCACTGCTGGTCACTCATCTCTCCCACCTTTCCCTTAGAACTTGCATCATGCAGGTCCCATTTAGTTCCCGAACCAGGGGATATGGAGGAGAGTCCTGGGTGTTTCCCAGGATGAACATGACTCCAGCCATAGCAAGGTGGGCTCAGAGGAGCCCTGGCTCTGAAAAGTGTTAAGTAGGAGAGAACTCGTCTGTGTTCAGATGATACCAGAAACCTGTCCTATTCCACTGGTGGCCATTGGCCACCTCGTTTCTACTTTTACTTCCCCATTCTTGACACTTGCTAACTTGTCCTTTCTGCTCTTTTTTTGGTTAATTCCCACCTCTCTGGACTCCACATGTCACCAGTTTCTCTTACTGCTTCCTCTGTAGTGCTTTCTCACATCGTCCTACACATTTTGTATCATGAAGTGTGCACATATCCTCACATAGTTTTTTTTTTTTTTTTTTAAGATTTTATTTATTTATTAGTGCACGAGCGGGGCGAGGGGCAGAAGAAGAGGGAGAAACACTCCCCGCTGAGCAGGGAGCCCGATGCGGGACTCCATCCCAGGATCCCGTGATCATGACCTGAGCTGAAGACAGATGCTTAACCGACTGAGCCACCTAAGCACCCCTACTCACATAGTTCTTAAACACCAGCTCTCTTGCACTTGGATTTTCCTGAGCTTAGATACACCTTTCTGCAGTTGTCAGCAAGGATTTACTGAAAGCCATTAGCAGAGGAATGAGCTATAGATCCTGCTGCCCCTCTCTGTGCCACATCCCATCCTTGTGTTCTTCACCTGGAGAGGCCTCCCTCACTGACTTGTAGAGGCCCAGTACTAAACAGCAGCAGCTTCTTTTTTTTCTTTTTAAGATTTTATTTATTTGAGAGAGCAAGTGCACAAGTGGCGGGGAGGGGCAGAAGGAGAAGCAGACTCCCCACTGAGCGGGAAGCCTGACTGAACCATCCAGGTGCCCCACAGCAGCACCTTCTTTACCCTGACCCCAGCTCCTTCATCCTGGAAACAGTGCCATCAGCACATTCATTGGTGTGTTGGACACACATTTATGATGGTGTTGCCTCTTCCCACTACTGCCTATGTCTACTTCACTAGAATTTCTCTGCTTTCAGGTTGCTGGCATGGAGCAGAGGATGGGAAGGCACCTTCAGAGCAGGCTGCTTCTATAGGAGTGTCACAGGTCAGGACTCACCATGCAGGCTCACATCCCCAGAAGGCACACCTCTGTGGGATATGTTGTCTGGTCTTAAAAGACATTTTGGGTGTGGCTCTGCATCAGAGAACACGTCCGCAGTTGAGATCTTACACATGTAGGAAACAAGTCTGTTTCACTGCAAACCTTCACCAGCATGGGAAGCAGCATAGTGGAGAGAAACTGTTGAAATGGGCTTCATTTGTGAAGAGCTGCAGGTCCCATGTGTCAGGGAAGTCCTTTACCAATGGGGAGGTTGATAAGGATTTCCTCACCAGTTCAGGCCAGCACCAGCACCAGGCCACTCATAATGGGCAGAAACCACACAGTTGCACCGTGTGTGGGGAAGCTATTCACAGTGGGAAGAGCCGTTGCAGTTGGTGTGAATGCAAGAAAACCTTTAGCCACAAATACACTCTTGCTGAACGCCTGAGTGTCTGCACTGGAGAAAGGCCTTATGAGTGCAGTGAATGTGGGAAATCCTTCACCCGAAGGTTTAACCTCTTCCAGCATCAGAAAGTCCACACCGGAGAAAGGCCCTATAAATGCAATGAATGTGGGAAATTCTTCACTCACATCTCCAGTTTCATTCAACACCAGAGAATTCACACTGGGGCAAAGCCTTATAAATGCAGCAGATGTGGGAAATTCTTTGGCCAGAGCTCCAGCCTTATTGTACACAAGAGAGTTCACACTGGAGAAAAGCCTTATGAGTGCAGTGAATGTGGAAAATCCTTTAGCCAAAGCTCCAGTCTCATTAAACATCAGAGAGTTCACACTGGAGTGAGGCCTTATAAGTGCAGTGAATGTGGAAAATGTTTTGGTGACACCTCCAGCCTCATTAAACACCGTAGAGTTCACACTGGAGAGAAACCTTATGAGTGCAGGGAATGTGGGAAATTTTTTAGCCAAAGTTCTGGCCTCATTCAACACCAGAGAGTTCACAGTGGAGAAAGACCTTATGAGTGTAAGATATGTGGGAAATCCTTTACCCGCAACTCTGACCTCATTCAACACAAAAGGGTTCACGCTGGAGAGAGGCCTCATGAGTGCAGGGAATGTGGAGAATTCTTCAGTGACACCCAGTTTGCTCAACACCAAAAAATTCACATCAGAAAAAGGTCTCATGAGTGCAACAAATGTGCAAAAGCTTTCAGCCGAAGGTCTAACCTCATTAGACACCAGAAAGTTTACCACCACACGGAAAGGCCATATGTGTGCAGCAAATGTGGGAAAGCCTTCAGTCAGTGGTCTGCCGTGATTCAGCACCAGAAAGTTCACAATGCAGATCGGCTTTATGAGTGCAGTGAATGTGGGAAAGCCTTTAGCCGAAGGTGTAACCTCATCCGACACAAAAAAGTCCACACTGGAGAGAGACCTCATGAGTGCAGTGAATGTGGGAAAGCCTTCAGCCGAAAGTCTCACCTCATTGGGCACCAGAAAGTTCACACAGCAAAGCCATAGCCATGCAAGAAGCAGGCTTTCTACATGTTTGATATAATGACTTTGGAGGAGAGCCTTTGTGAGGGAGACATCTTCCTGAAGTTGAACTCATACATCTGAATATACACCACAGGGAAGATTCCCTGTAAGTTCCAGGTATGTGGAAAGCTTCTAGGAACCATATTGCACTTCCTAACTGGCTTGGGGTCCTTGCTGAAATTGTGTCTGCCAGTGTTCGTAGTATAAGTCAGCTCTACTGCCTAGAAAGGCCCCCATGGTATGCATCAGTTACCCCACTGTTTAGGGAAGTAGATCTCTGTGTTCTGTCTGGAGAAAATAATGAGCAGCCTGAGCCTTTAGAGTAACATCATTCCCTTTTCTCTAATTAATGTGTATACCGGACCCAGTTTTCTCCCACAACACCTTATCTGGGTTCTACTGGTGGCTTGCAGAGAAGGTTTGTCTTCAGGGACATTGTTTTCATATGACACTTGTGATGGATTTTTCCAGTCTCCATGTCACCAACCCATAAACTGCCTGCCTGACCTTGCTATGATTTGTGCAATAATAAAGGCCTTATTGTTAAGCCACCTTTAATCTTGGGGGTTGTATTCACTAGCTGGTTGCTTTGAAAACAGCATGAAGGGGTAAACAGCTTGTGTGACAGTTCCCAACTTTGGGAGGGCAACAGGCTTTGAACAACTAATATGCAGCCTGGAAGCCAAGATTTTTTTTGTGGGCCCAAAGGTCACATTGAGGAGCGGGCACTTGTGACAATCCTCAGCATTTTTGGGATTGGTTCCTTTGTTTATAGTGCATATCATGTAGTGACCACACAGCTAAGGGGACTCTCTTCCCCAGGTCCTTCAGAAGAGTCATGTGCCCTGATGCCCAGAATTTGGTAGGGTAGTGTCACTGGTTTTAACACTAAAGGGCTCAGGGGGGATCATAATTGATGAGAAACATTGGGTTGATAGGGAGTGCTGGAGCCTGCAGTAAACTAGATGGAACATCCCTCTTCTAAAAGTGTACCCACAGCTATTGCAGCATCTCTGGCTGTGTTGAGTGAGCATGTACCTCCTGGTCTGTGTATCTTGAATAGCTGAGGTCATTGGCAGAGAAATTAAGGTTTTGTGGATTCCTGTAGCTTTCTGGCCTGTTGACCTTAAGACTGCACATTCAGGAAAACAAGGTTAGAGAGAAGGGAGATCTCTTAGTCCAGTGATATGGCCTTTGTGACTAAGGTGGAAACATCCTCTATTGTTCACCAATATTTGCTATCACTGAGGTAAGGCATCCTTCCCAAAGCATTAGGAGAGAGGTGATAGAGTTAATAGAGGGATGCCAGATTTGATTTTTTTTTATAAGGAGTGGGAGAGATCCTTTTATTTTGAACCATTGCTTAAAGCTTTAAGTTATAATGACATACAGTAAACTGCACATATTTAAAATGTATAGTTTGATAAGATTTGATGGTATAATCCACAAAATCATCATAATTGTGATAATGAGCATATAAGTCCGACACATATTTACCTCATAATTTTTATTAATCTCTCTCCCTGCCCTCTCTGGCTGTCTGGGCAAACTTGGATTTACTTTCCTTTACAGTAGACTACATTTTCTAGAATTTTATATGATTGGAATCATAAAGTATTTATTTTTTTCCCTGTTTCATATATACTGCATCATTACCTTGAGATTTTAAAAAGTTCATTCCTTTCATTGCTGAGTCGTATTCTGTTATATGGATATACCGCTATTTGTTTTTCCATATATCTGTTCCTTGGCATCTGGGTTTGCAGGTTTTGGCTATTACAAATAAAACTTCTATGAAGGTTCACGTATAAATCTTTATACGGATACATGTTTCATTTTTCTTGTGTTAATATGTCTGAGTGCAATGCCTGAATCATAGGGTAGGTGAATGTTTAACTTCTTAAGAAATTACCAAACTGATCTGAAATGGTTATTTTTTATATTTCCTACCAACGGTATATGAGAGTTTCACTACCTTCCTGGTTCCTGTGAGACATTGGAATTTCCACTTAATCCCTCCCTCCATAGGGTCCATCTGCAAGGATATAAAACCACTCACAGCCAGACTTGAATAAGCTCTTCAGCAACTGAGTCCCACTGCACATGTTGCCTGTAACCTGGTCCCTTTGATTTGATGGTGTCCTATGTGACAGGCATAGCAGGAGGTGACAGAATGTTTGCTGACTTTCTCATGCTATCTGTGTAAGGAATAATCTTTCTCAATCCATTTGGGCTTGTGGTTTCCTTACCAGCGTACCTATGGCAGATTGGCAAGCAAAACCTAGCAGCTGCATAAAGATTGCTTGACTGCTTGACACCACACCTTTCATTACCATGACTTTCTAGTTTCTTCATATCTAGTAAAGAAGTCACCTTTTGGCTTTCTCTTTCAAAGTTACCTGTAAGCAAAACCATTGTAAAAGGGGCTATGTATAACACTGGAGAAACGTCTTTTGTAACAGACTAATATATCTATTAAATAAAGTGTAATAGTTATTTTCAGAGTGAGGAGGACATTAGTAATATAGTACAATATAAAAGTTGTGATAATGTGGAAATATTAGACATTGAATACAGTGGTTTCATAAAGTACACAATAAGGAGAAATAAATTTCTATACAACTAAAATTAAAAATATCAGGGATGCCTGGCTGGCTCAGTCAGTAGAGCATGCAGCTCTTGATCTCTGGGTCATGAGTTCAAGCCCCACGTTGGGTATAGAGCTTACTTAAAAAAAAAAAAGATTTCTCTCAGATGGAGAAAATCTTAAAGCAGTCAGAAAGGGGTAAAGCCAATGGAAATTTTAAAGGAAAGCTAAAAATCTAAAACATTAAAGAAGAAACAGACATATATCTAGATAATACAACACAAAGAAGGAAAAATTACAGAGGGGGCATGTTTAGAACAGGGAAACACATGCTGCCTAGACCCATTGTAATAAGGAAAATCAAGGACCAGAGAAAGTTATACACATATACAGTGAGAGAAATAGAGGAACCAAAATCAGCTTGAGCCCATTCCTTTTCACAATTCGTGAGTGTAAGTGTACCATGAAATAAAAGCTTTTAAAGTATTGAAGTAAAAATTACGTATACCAAGAATATCCTCAGCCAGCCAACAGACATATGAAAAGTTGCTCAACATCACTAATCATCAGAGAAATGTGAATCAAAACCACAATGAATATCACCTCACACCTGTCATAGTGGCTAAAATAAAAAACACGGAAAACAAGTATTGGCAAGGATGTGGAGGAAAAGGGAACCAGTTGTTCTGCCCCGTTGGTGAGAATGCAAACTGGTTCAGCCATTGTGGAAAACAGTTTGAAGATTCCTCAAAAAATTAAAAAATAGAATTACCATATGATCCAGTAATTCCACTACTGAGTATTTACCCAAAGAATATGAAAACAGTAATTTGAAAAGATACACGCACCCTATGTTTATTGTAGCATTATTTACAATAGCCAAGATATGGAAACAACCCAGGTATCTAGATGAATGGATAAAGATGTGTGTTTGTATGAAAATGTACACATGCTGGAATATTACTCAGCCATAAAAAAGAATGAATTCGTCCCATTTGCAACAGCATGGATGTATCTAGAGGGTATAATGTTAGGTGAAATAAGTCAGAGAAAGACAAATATGATTTCACTCACGTGGAATTTAAGAAACAAACCAAAAAAGACAGACGTTTAAGTATAGAGAACAGATTGGTGGTTACCGGAGGGGAGGTGGGTGAGGGATGGGTGAAATAGGTGATGGGGATTAAGAGTACAGTTGTGAGCACTGAGTAATGTATAGAAATGTTGAATCACTATATTGTACACCTGAAACTATTATAACACTGTACCTTAATTATACTGGAATTAAAATAAATTAATTGAAAAATTTTTTAATTTAAAAAGGATAGAAAATAAGAATTTTTTTAAAAATATATCCTCAGCCAATATGCCATTTGAAAGGAAAAGCAATAAAAATATTTGTGGGCATATTAAACTTTGGAATTTATTTTTCCAAACTGGGAATTTACCACAATGACTGTCTTAAAAACAAGTATTCAGACAAGACAAACCAAGCAGGGTGGTGAAATAGGGCTGGCATGTAAGGATAATCCATATCTTGATAATGTTTTTTTATTATCTAAAAGAAAAAATAATTTTGTACATATAACACAGTTTAAAAGTAAATTCTGGTATAGTTGGTAGTTTTAAGAGAAAAAGTCTTCTGAGTGCTGAAATGCTTTTGAGTTTTCGTTTTTCTGATTTTTGTTACTGTTGTTGAACTTGACAATAGGTTTTTAAAACTCAGAACTCACAGAAAAATAAGGCACGTTTAGAAGATAAAGAGAAAAAAAGATAAAGTGGATTGTTCTTTCAGAAGCTAGGACCTGTTATAAAACTAGAAATGACGACAGTTTGGTATTAGATATTTGCAGAAAGCTACACATACAGATTAGTGGAGACCATGTAGAGCTTAGAAGGAGATCCATATACATCTGGACATCCACACCTAGTGTGGAAGAAAACTGTTGCTCCAAAGAAATATGTTCTGATATGCATCAGAACACATGAACAAACACTTTTACAGCTGCATTCTTGTTATTGCAACACCTGAAAGCAATATAAAGGTCCATCAGTGTAGAATAGAGACAGATTATGAAATGGTGCCCTTGGCAGCAATGAAAATGGATGATACAGACACATTGAACAGCATGGGTGAATTGTACTGACATTCATTGGGCAAAAGAAGTAAGATCAAACAAACACGCAGCATATGATTCCATTCATATAAATGTCAAAGATATACAGAGCCAAACTCTAGTTTTAGGGTTTATGCATAGTAAGGAAAACTATCAACAAAATCCAAAAGGTGCTGACTTTAAAATCTGGATGTTGGATTACTCTTGGAGGAGGTGCAGACTGTCTGGGATGGAGTACTTGACATGGCAGGGCACTACTAGCATTCTTTGTATTTCCC